AAAGCTTTTTACAGTTAATGATGTTCTTCTGAAATATTGTCACATCTATAATGTAAAAAATGCAGCAATGAATCTACACCCAGGAAGCTCTCAAAACCATCAGTGTGCTAATGATCAGATGACCTGCTTTGGGGATGTCGATTGAAAGGTATTAACCAGGATTCTGAGGATAATTGCTCTGCTGTTTTTCTAAATACCATCATGGGATTTTTCATCTCATCTCAGCAGAGGGTAGATGGGACGTATTTGACTTTAACATCTCATCCGAAAGATGATCAAGACGTAATTGTTCAAAGTTCGGACTGAGAGACAGATTTTTGGAATGTCTGCCGGAAATATTTTGCATTACTGAGATCGGATGAAAGACAGGGCCAGAATAAACTAGGATGCACTACCAACAAACATTCACATTCATTCAGAGATAGTAGGAACTGCAGACGCTGGAGAATCTGAGATAACAAGGTGTAGAGCTGGATGAACACAGCAGGCCAAGCAGCATCAGAGGAGTAGGAAAGCTGACGTTTCGGGCCTAGACCCTTCATCAGAAATGGGGGAGGGGAAGGGGGTTCTGAAATAAATAGGGAGAGAGGGGGAGGCGGATAGAAGATGGATAGAGGAGAAGATAGGTGGAGAGGAAACAGACAGGTCAAAGAGGCGGGCATGGAGCCAGTAAAGGTGAGTGTAGGTGGGGAGGTAGGGAGGAGATAGGTCAGTCCAGGGAGGACGAACAGGTGAAGGGGACGGGATGTGGTTAGTAGGTAGGAAATGGGGGTGCAGCTTGAGGTGGCTGGAGGGGATAGGTGGGAGGAAGAACAGGTTAGGGAGGTGGGGACGAGCTGTGCTGGTTTTGGGATGCGGTAGGGGGAGGGGAGATTTTGAAGCTTGTGAAATCCACATTGATACCATTGGGCTGCAGGGTTCCCAAGTGGAATATGAGTTGCTGTTCCTGCAACCTTCGGGTGGCATCGTTGTGGCAACGCAGGAGACCCAGGATGGACATGTCGTCTGAGGAATGGGAAGGGGAGTTGAAATGGTTCGTGACTGGGAGGTGCAGTTGTTTATTGCGAACCACATTCATTGTTGAGATTCAACATGGTCACTTAGGAGGGAGCCTGCAGAGCCATGTTTCGAGGACCTGTACACAACAGTCAAAGCTATAGGGAACAAATACAAAAGTGACGAACTTTTGAGAAATGAAAATTACTTCCTTCAATTCTTTAATGGGATGTGGGTGTTTCTGGCTGGGTTAGGTTAGGGTCTTGCCCACTCTATTGTACTTGTGAAGGTGGTAGTGAGATGCCTTCTTGAAATGATGCATTTCTTGTGGTATAGGCACTATGCTGCTATGGAGGGAGCTCCAGGATTTTGGCTCAGCGACAGCAAAGGAACTGCAATATAATTCCAAAGTCAGGGTGAAGGGTGGCTTGGAGGAGAACTTGGAGGTGGTGGTGTTCCCAAGCATTTGCCACTCTTGTACTTCTAGGTGGTAAAGGTCACAGCTTTGGAAAATTCTGATGAAGAAGCCTCAGTGTATAGCTATATTGCATCTTGTCGATGGTACACACTGCTGTCACCGTGCACTAGTGTTGCCAGAAGTAAATGTTTGAAGTGGTAGACAGGTGTACATGAAAGAGAGTTGTAGTTTTATGTATTTAGTGCCAATTATCTCTTTTCCTAAAGCATTAATTTCTGCAGAAGTGAATATCGAAGAACATTTCTTCGATGCTTCACCCAACTGACTATTCTTCATGCGTGTGCACAGGAAGCAAGTACTGCAGTCTGGCATGTCATATTTGACCCTGGCTTAGACTTATTTATTAAAGCAATTATCTTTTATCCCACGAAAACGAAATGTTCAATGTTCCTAAAATTAATTCAGCAAACACTGGTTAGTTAATGTAATGCATTCAAACCACAATGAGATAACATCCTCATGTTTAGGAAGAAACTGAGTCATTGCATCTTTTTGTTTACGGGAATCTGTTCTCATCAACAGTTATATTTTGGAAACTGGGGTCAAACATTCTCACTCACTATAGCTCCAGTGGGAGATTGAGGAACCTCTGGAAAACAGTGGAGACACATTGTACAAAGTCTGTTCCATTTCCAAACATTCCTCTTGGCCTTGTAAAGCTTTCTCCATCAGCTGTGGTTCAGGTTGCACCTATGAACAGAAGGTTATAGCTTCAAATCTCATTTCAGATAGTTGAGTGTGTGGTAATATGCCGATTCTTCCAGTGCAATACTGAATTGGTGCTGCTCCATCAGAGGTGTGGCCTTTTGGACAAAACGATAAATTGAGACCACAGTGACCCTCTTAGATGAACTAAAGAGATCCTGGTGGTACCATTTCAAGAACGGGCTGCAGAATTCTCCTTGCTGTCATGTACACTATCAATCCCTCAACCATCATCACCAAGAAACAAAAGCCAAAAGAGCTTTGGATGTTGTAAATCAGAAACAAAAACAGAAGTCGCTGGAAAAGCTCAGCAAATCAGACAGCATCTATATAGAGAAATTAGAGTTAAGAAACAAATTGTCCAATGATTATTGTATTTCTGTTTGTGGAAGCTTGCTGTGTGCAATTTAGCTGCGGTGTGTCCTGACTATGTTTAAGAAAAGACAAGCATTCCATTAGTTGTAAAGTACCTGTAGTTGTGAAAGGTGTAACATTGATGCAGATCTTTTTCCAGTTTTCATTTTAAGCCATTTTCAACTTCAATCTCATCAATTCAGAAGACATTCGCAGTCGGCCCATCGAGTCTGCTCTGCCATTCGATCATGGCTGATGTATTTCTCAAGCCCATTCTCCTGCCTTCTCCCTGTAACCTTTGATCCCCTTACTAATCAAGAACATATTTTTGTCTTAAAGACACTCAGTGACTTGGCCTCCATAGCCCTCCGTGGCAATGAGTTCTGTAGCTTAACCACCCTCTGGCTGAAGAAATTCCTCCTCATTTCAATTCTAAAGGGCCGTCTCTTCACTCTGAGGCTGTGCCCTCAGGTCCTAGTCTCTCCTACTAGTGAAAACATTTTCTCCATGTCCCCTCTATGCAGGCCTTTCAGTCTTGTGGGACTTGCACCCATACTTATGAAGATTCTGTTAGGAGCCTTATGCTATTCATGTGCTCTGTGACGCTATCAGAACTGCAAGTGTGATGTGAATAAAAACACTGTCGCCATCCTTTCTTCCACTGACCAGGCGGTTCTCGAAGCAGGAGTACTGCCTTCTAAAAAGCTGCCATCTGGGATTTCTTGCTTGAATTACTGACAAATCACACTTAAAATCTGCAGACAAAGCCTGGTGCGTTTTTCCTCTGCACGCAACATCTGGGCAGCCTCCAAGGCAAGACAAATTAGCAAAAATATGTGGTCAACAGTAGCTGCCAATTTAGTGTTAAAATGTAGGGTTCTCATGCACACCAGCAATCTACATCACAAAATGTGGAGTCCAGCATGTTTCAGGCAATAACAGTGTGTTTACAAACAAAATTAACCTTTAAAAGAAATGCATTTTGAAAAACAGACGCGGTATTTCCGGCACGTACACCTTCCAACCTACAGGCAAATACCACTTCATTGACCTCGGACTAAACTTATTTACATGAGTTAGAACTTGAAGCTTCAGCAAGGTGCTTCACTTAAACTCAGTTCCACTCTAGAGGCAGAATAATACACTGTGTTAAACAATATGCTGTTCCCGTCCTTATACCATTCTTCAAATTACTGTGAGCAATCTCACTGATGAGCCACTACTTCTTTGGTCAGTGCTAGTAGCTGCATTTACTAATGTTAGTCATGACTGAGTGATGGAATGTTTGCCTCAAGTCAGAAGGTCATGGATCAAGCCAAACATCAGGGTTTGGTCACACATAATCCATTGCTAATGCTCCATTGCCAGAAAAAAGAATTGAGGAACTTATTGCCTTTGGCTTTCTAGTCTGGCTGTAAATTTTTTATTTGATCATAGGATTTAACTATTATTGCCATCCCATGCCTAATAAGCTACTCCTTAAATCATGTGCACCGCAATACTTTCTGTAGCTATTTGATACAACCCAGCTTGCTACTTGCAACAGGACAGTTCCGTTGCAGCCACAAAGCTACAGACCTGGAGACACATGGAGACCAGACTGGGTAATAAAGGCAGATTTCCACCCCTGAAGGATATTAGTGAATCAGATGAGTTCTTTATAACAATCCAGTGCTCACCATTACCTAGACTAGCATTTTATATGAGACTGAATTTAAATTCTCCTGGCTGCCGTAGTGCTCTTTGAACATGTTTTCAGAATCTTAGTTCAGTCTTATTTCTGGATTACTGTCCAGAGATATAACCACAATGCCACCACTTCTCGCAGGCTAGTGTCTCTTTATTGGATTTACTCTTTACTCAGGTTCAGTTGAAATGAAGAGGATATTGAGATAAGGATCAGCTTTATAATAATAACCATTCTGTCCCAATGATTTTTGGATCACGTACTAATGGTGACATATGTTTTCAACCTGTGCTGGTCTCTATCTTCCTGCACATTCAGTGTTTGAAGAGCGAGCTAATACAATCCTTTCTTTGAGAGCACATCCCATACTTCCTTAATGATCTCAACTTGTGACAATTGTTTTAAAATGGGACCAGCTGCACTGAATGTTACAACGGCAAATATTCACTACAATCCATATGATAATGCGTTTAATATGTTTGTGTGCACACCATATAAAAAAGACTGGACTGGCATTTTTGAGGACTAATGAAGAAAGTCTGCTCAAATTGCTCCATGGAGAAATGTACATGCCAGATTTCAGCATATTTTTACCGCATGTGATGATGGGGAGTGACTTGCTGATACCAGCAGCAAATCACTTAACATGCAATGGGATCACTATCCTAATGCAAAATTAAGCAAGATTTTGTGTCACTAGATTTTGTGACAATCTTTGCACTTAATTCCCTTTACTTATGCATGTGGAGGATTATGAAATGACAGAAACTGATGCCTTACCATGTGGTAGTTGATCATTTCTTGTAAGCTTTCTCCAAACTTCTGGAGGCATTCCTGAAATAAAGAAACCGAGGTGTGATTTCCATGCGGGAATGACCAGAGCCTACTCCAAGATCATAATTTTAGACGGAAACCAACAGTGCGTAGCAATCTTCATCAATGTCACTAGTCATTATTCTTGTGGTAGTGATTCCCAATAAGCTTTGGATGAGACCTCATGTCAGATCAGTTAGCCAAAATGAGAAGTGTTTGAATAAAATAATTTTGAATACGGGTCACGGGACCTGAAATGTTAACACGGATTTCTCTTCACAGATGCTGCCACACCTGCTGAGCTTTTTCAGCAGTCTCTATTTGTGTTTCTGACTTACAGCATCTGCAGTTCGTTTGGTTTTTATTTGAATAAAATTCATGCTGCTTCATTATTGTCATGCATTTTAGATGTTTCAAGTTCTGAAACTTCAAAAAATTTATTTCTAAAGCTTTCCTCAAACTAGCCCCCACCTAACCCAGAAAATCAATCCAAATTCTTTGAGGACATTTCCAAGAAATTACCAGGTTATTGAGGTTACTATGGAAATACATAAGAACATAAGAACGAGAAGCAGGAGTAGGCCATCTGGCCCCTTGAGCCTGCCCCGCCATTTAATAAGAGCATGGCTGATCTTTTTGAGACTCAGCTTCACTTACCCGCCCACTCATCATAACTCTTAATTCCTTTACTGTTCAAAAATTTATCTAGCCTTGCCTTAAAAACATTCAGTGAGGTAGCTTCAACCGCTTCACTGGGCAGGGAATTCCACAGATTCACAACCCTTTGGGTGAAGAAGTACCTCCTGACCTCAGTCCTACATCTGCTTCCCTTTATTTTGAGGCGATGCCCTCTAGTCCTAGTTTCACCTGCTAGCAGAAACAACCTCCCTGCCTCCACCTTATCTATTCCCTTCATAATCTTATAGGTTTCTATAAGATCTCCCCTCATTCTTCTGAATTCCAATGAGTATAATCCCAGTCTACTCAGTCTCTCCTCATAATCCAATCCTCTCAACTCTGGAATCAACCGAGTGAATCTCCTCTGCACCCCCTCCAGTGCTAGTATATCCCTTCTCAAGTAAGGAGACCAAAACTGCACACAGTACTCCAGGTGTGGCCTCACCAGGACCCTATACAGCTGCAGCATAGCCTCCCTGTTTTTAAACTCCATCCCTCTAGCAGTGGCAGACAAAATTCCATTTGCCTTTTTAATTACCTGCTGCACCTGCAATCCTACTTTTAGCGATTTATGCACAAGGACACCCAAGTCCCTCTGCACAGCAGCGTGCTGCAATTTTTTACCATTTAAAACATAGTCCATTTTGCTGTTATTCCTACCGAAATGGATGACCTCACACTTATCAACATTGTACTCCATCTGCCAGACCTTTGCCCACTCACTTAGACTATCTATATCCTTCTGTAGACTTTCAGTGTCTTCTGCACACTTTGCTCTACCACTCACTTTAGTGTCATCTGTAAATTTTTTTTGACACACCACACTTAGTCCCCAACTCCAAATCATCTATGTAAATTGTAAACAATTGCGGTCCCAACACTGATCCCGGAGGCACACCACTAGCCAATGACCGCCAACCAGAAAAACACCCATTTACCCCTACTCTTTGCTTTGGAAATGATCGCGATATCACCAAAAAAAGGTAAATGGAACCTGATTGGGACTGCAGTTTGTGCTTGCTGTGTTGCAGAAAACACACAGGACTCTTGCCGCATTCTGTTCTTTAGCAGGAGGAGAGGAGATACAGAACTTGTGGATCTTGGTGAAGCAATGAGCAAACTAGCTAAAACAAATGGAAATCTAAAAGTGGCATAGATAGCTTTGACAAGCTAAAGAGCAGGGTATTTGTACCAAAGTGATCAGATCATAAAGCAAAGTGTTTTTAATTGGTCAGTTGGAAAAGTATCCTGGCAAGCTATGCCATTAACTCTGTGGTGAATGTACCTAACGTGGTATTAATCATATCCGGGGAACTCAGACAGAATAAAGCTACCAGTGAAAGTGACTCGAGAGCCAAATCCAGTGAGTGAGTGAAATGAGAAACCCAACTTACAGGAGGCAGAGTTGAAAAGACTTTGCAATTGTATTTGGCAGTCACTGATGTGCTAGGAGTGATGCTCAGAAGTTGTCTTCGGTCATATCAACTATTTAAAGTGAAATTCATTGCTTGTATTGAAATACTATTTATCTGTTCATGTAAATTTGATTTATCTTGATTTGGGGTTTAAGTATTACAATAAAAAATTTTAAAACAGTGAAAATCTCTTGTGGTCCTTCTGTTGGGCTCCTTTGGGGATTGCCTTCTTTGAAGGTTATTATTCTCTCTGAGGATTGTATCAAGTCGTCATGCTGCAACGGAAGCTGTTTCTCCCTCTTTTAATCTCTCTCTACTGGAATACAGGAAGAAATAGGTGGGAGCCATTAGAGGCAGTAATCATACTGAAGGTCTGGATGATATCAGGAAGCGTGAGAACAAATCCCAAGCACTTTACTGCAAACAGCTGACTCGGAGACCACATTGAAATTACTTGTCACACATGCATAACTGATGCTTATGAGTGGGAGAAAACAAAGGATTTTCATTAAAACACAAGCAAAAGAAAAAGTCTTTGAAAATAGCTACAGATCTGACCATATGTTCAGCTGGACACTGTTCAGACACACAGTATGGAGGTTTCCTCAAATGGCCTAATTGGCAAGTTAGAATACTGTACTGGTCTGTGTGTTGATCCCTTTAAGCTGTGGCATGGCAGCTCAGTGGTTAGCACTGCTGCCTCACAGTGCCAGGGGCCTGGGTTCGATTCCAGTCTTGGGTGACTGTCTGTGTGGAGTTTGCACATTCTCCCCATGTCTGTGTGGGTTTCCTCTGGGTACCTGGTTTCCTCCCACAGTCCAAAGATGAGCAGGTTAGGTGGATTAGCCATGGGAAATGCAGGGTTACAGGGGGGTGGATCTGGGCAGGATGCTCTTCAGAGGGTCAGTGTGGACTTGATGGGCTAAATGGCCTGCTTCCATATTGTAGGGATTCTATGATTCCATGCTAACCTTTGCTATAATTTTCTGGGAATCTGACTCCTGTGAAAATAGGACCTTGGAGGTGATCATGAACCTTGAGGTACAAGACTGAACAATTCAGTGGATGAGGAGGCTCTGCAAATTTCCCCATCCTCAATGATGGAAGGGCCCAATACATCAGTGCAAAAGATAAGGATGAAGCGTTCACGGCATTCTTCAACCAAAAGTGCTGAGTGGATGATCCATCTCAGCCTCCTCCAGTGGTCCCCAGCATCACAGATATCAGTCTTCAGACAATTCGATTTACTCTACATGATATCAAGAAATGGTTGGAGACACTGGACACTGCAAAGGCAACGGCACTAAAGACTTGTGCTCCAGAATTTGCCACTCTTCTAGCCAAGCCGTTAAAGTACAGATACAACACTAGCATCTGCCTGGCAATGTGGAAAATTACCATGATATGTCGTGTGCACAGAAAGCAGGACAAATACAACCCAGCTAATTACCGTCCCATCAGTCTAGTCTTGATCATCAGTAAAGTGATGGAAGATGTCATCAACAGTGCTATCAAGCAGCACCTGCTCAGTGATGCCCAGTTTGGGTTCTGCCAGGGCCACTCAGTTCCTGACTTCATTACAGCCTTGGTTCAAACATGCACAAAAGAGCTGAATTCCAGAGGCGAGGGGACAGTGACAGCCCTTTACATCAATGCCGCATTGACGCAGTGTGGCATCAAGGAGCCCGAGCAAAAGTGGAATCAATGGGAATTAGCGGGCAAACTCTCCACTGGTTGGTATCATACCTGGCACATGGGTAGATGATTGTAGTTGTTGGAGGTCAGTCATCTCAGCTCCAGGACATCTCTGCAGGAGTTCTTCAGGGTGGTGTCCTTGGCCCAACCATCTTCAGCTGCTTCATCAGTGACCTTCCCTCCACCAAAAGGTCAGAAGTGGGGATGTTCGCTGATGATTGAGCCAATGTTCAACACCATTCATGATTCTTCAGATACTAAGGCAGTCCATGTTCAAATGCAACCAGATCTGAACAATACCCAGACTTGGGCTGACAAGTGGCAAGTTACATTCGTGTCATATAAATGCCAGGCAATCCAATAACACACAATCTAACCATCGCCCTTTTCATTCAATGGTGTTACCATCTCCAAATTCCCCACCATCAACATTCTGGGGATTAAGGGATTACGGGATTACCACTGACCAGAGATTCAATTGGACTCACCACATAAACAAACACAATGGTTACAAGAGCAGGTCAGAGGCTAGGAATATTGCGGGGTATAACTCACCTCCTGACTCCCCAAAGTCTGTCCACCATCTACAAGGCACAAGTCAGGACAGTGATAGAATACTGCCAACTTGCCTGGATGGGTGCAGCTCCAACAACACATTAAGCTTGACACCATCCAGGGCAATGCAGCCCGCTTGATTGGCACCACATCAATAATTATCCACTCCTTCCACCATTCACACTCAGCAGCAGTGTGTACTATCTACAAGATGCACTGCAGAAATTCAAAGCCTGTGACAGCACCTTCCACACCCACAATCACTTCCATCTAGAAGGACAAGGACAGCAGATACATGGGAACACCACCACCTGTAAGATCACCTCCAGGCCACTCACCAACCTGACTTGGAAATATATCACCGTACATTCAGTGTCGCTGGGTCAAAATCCTGGAATTCCCTCCCTAAGGGCTGTGTGGGTTTACCTACAGCACATGGACTGCAGCAATTCATGAAGGCAGCTCACCACCACCTTCTCAAGGGCATTTAGGGACAGACAACAAATGCTGGCACAGCCAATGACACCCATGTCCCATGAATGAATGAAAAAAATAGACCTGTAAGAAGCTGACAACTAAATATTCCCCATCATGTTGTCTCATGCACAATGCCACATTGGGAATATTGCTAGGAATCATGATGAACAGGGAGGTGCCTAGTGATATGATGATAGCCTTGTTAACATATTGAGATGTGGAAGGAACCTTAACAACGTGGACTTCAGAGACACAAGGGACGAAGGTCAGGAAACCTAAGATAACAACATAAAACTCAGAAATGACGGCTTCCAGATTGCAAAGGAGTCTCTGCAAAGATTTCAGCAGACTGAGAGTCATGTATGATCCAGAAATTATGGTGCTGTTCGGTGACATCAGGCTGACGTATGCCTAGATTTCTTTGTGTAAATGGGCACCGTGAGAAGACTAGTAGACACTTGTTAAATTTGTAGTCAGAGTGATTTCAACTGGGAAATGTTAATGAGCAGTGGAGGTCTCCATTCGGCAGAACAAACATTCTAATAAATTATGGGGTGAAGAGAACCTGGCTTTGTTCACTTATACTGTATATTCCTCACATGTTTGCACTGATGAAAGTTATTACAACAGAGATACACCATTTATATAGCAAATTTCCCTTTGCCGAGTTGATGTCAGAAGTAGGTCCTAATCCAGACACAACTAACTCCTGACATCCCAGAATTAAGTAGCTTCAGTTGGATCATTGGGCAACACATAAGCATAAGCACTTACTTTCTACCTTCCCAACTAATGGAGGAAATATGACAGAATTTGTAAAATGACTTCCATCTTACCGATATCATTTCATCTTTCCTGCACTGTTGAGAGAGGTCTCGGATCCCATTGACAAAATGTTTGTTGGCCGTGGTATATGCTCTCCCTGCTTCGATCATCCCACTGCACAGTTTCACCAGCTATAACAAGGAAATTACAAAACATTGTGTTGTTAGAAGCATTGAATGCCATTAAACAATGATGTTATTCAAGAGAAAATTGATGACATTGATTATTTCCTTTTTACTTGGGTTATATTTTTGTGTAACTCATGATATTTGGGTGCAAGTACTGGTGAATGGACATCTCTATGGATCAGAATGAAGAACCAGGCCTCTTCAGCCCAGCAATCAGCTTTAACACCAATTTTAGCTGTAGCAGTTTTTGGCTTGACATTTACCATGACATTGGTATCCTGTAGTGTTTCTCAACTATTAATTAGTTTGAAATGATGGGTGGTTCTGAACTCACAAAGCTGTTTGAGATTTTATTCAGAGTCATGTAATTTCAAGCCTCGGTTATTATTTGTTTGAACTGGGTTAGAGATCACATCATAGGGGTTCAAGAACAACATTTTAGCAACATCATCTTGCAATCATATAGCATTTTTAACATAGATAAACACCCCAAGGTGCTTCCAAACAGTGTTATCAGACAAAATTTGCCACTCAATCATAAAAACAGATATCAGGACAACGACCAAACTTGGTCAAATAGGTGGGTTGCTCTACAGAGGGTTGATGTGGTCTTGACGGGCCAAATGGCCTGTTTCCATACTATAGGGATTCTATGAAAATTTTATTCTATGAAACTGCCAGAGATCTGAAACAAACCATAACAGAAATTGCTGCAGATACTCAGCAAGTCTGACACCATCAATGGAGGAAAAATAGAGTTAACAGAGTGAGGAAGGGTCACTGAACTCGGAATGTTATCTGTTTTCAGACCTGCTGAGTTTCTCCAGCAATTTCAGCTCAAGCTATGTATCGCGTTCATTTATCATGAGCTGTGGGGGAATTACAGTTGGCCTTAGCCACAGAGGAATAGAAATTAGCTGAAATGTTATTAAATCGATTGGACGTAATCTCACAATTTTCAATGGTGAGTTTCAACTCTTAAACACTGGCTCGTTATCTAATACTAAACCACCATACGACCATCACTGTCAACAGTTTGGACACTGGAATGAGTTCTGATCACAGTTCAGGTTGTAGGAATGGGATCAGTTTTTTTCTCACATGGTGCTGTGTCTCACAGATGGCACACAAAGTTAGGGAGAACACAGAAGATGGAATTTTAAATTATAATGGGTGGAAGTGGGTTGGACCATTTGACAATGGAGAAATAGGTGGCACAATATTGGCCCATAACATAACCATAATGCAGTTGCATTTATATATTGACTTCCTTGACACCAGGAATCCCCAAATCATTTACAGCCAACGAAGTATCTTTAAAGGTACAGACATAGCCAATCTGAACACAGCAAGCTCCCAAAAAAAACAGCATTATGATCTGATTGTTTGGCAACAGTGCAACAATCTGCCTTCCGGTTTGCTGTAGACATGCGATCTCTACCATGGGGCACTAACTAAGGACTGCCATTTGGTGACCAGTTTCACTAAAGTCACAGTACCAGCCAGACTGTTGTCGTAAGACCTCAATAACGTCCAGATAATCTCATTTCAGTAATGTCAATCGAGGGACAGCTATTGGCCATTGGGATAAAATCCCTTTCCTTTGAAATGATGTCATGCAATCTTTTTACTTTCAGACACTTCTAAACAAATGTCAGGTGAATATCTTATTTTAAGGGTAGCTCCTCTCCATCAGTGCAGAGCTTCCTCGATACATTGGAGAGTCAGCAAAGATTTTTATGCTTCTAGAATGGGACTTGAACTCACAACCTTCTAACCAAAAGGAATGTGGATAAGGAAGGGAAGATTGAGAATGGGCAAATGGATTGGGAGGTAAAGGAATACCAAACATTGGCGTGATGCATTTAATTAATGTACAGATTTGGAAGAAGGCAATATTCTCTGGCATAGGGAAGGCACAAAACTAGAAACAAATGGATTGATATTTTTAAGAGAATGGTCATTGTTAATGGGTCAAATAGCTTTTTTCTGTAAAGTTGAACGATGCCTCTCCTGAAAATGCAGGTGAGGATAGAGCTCAGTGCAACTGTGACTGAACAGTTTGAGTCCGAGTTGTGAACACTGACAGATATCAACAAAAGGCCATTTGCGGAAATCTCCAATCACAAATGTGAAACTGCAAATCAGCCTGAGTCAGGACCTAGAAGAGGGGAGGCGGCGAACAGGGTTGGTGGGGTGGTGGAGCCATTGCTTTCACCATTTTTACATACAATTAATTATCAATGCCCCCCTCCAACTCCCATTGCCCCTGAGTAAAAGCAAAAGGAATGAGAATTGGTTAATTCAGAGTGATGCAGAAGGATGCCAATAACATGGGCTCAATCCTTGTGCTGGTTCCTGGAGACCTGCCCTTGCCTTGCCCACTTGTTGCTAACTAGATGAGGCAGATGCCTTTGGTCTCTTGTGGACTATGGTTAATCATCTTACAAAAGGGAATTGAAGCTAATCAGCATTATTTTTGTGTGGTGCTGTTCAAAAACAGCATTTACTGGAAATTAGACTGCCCATTGTTAAGATACCAGTTCTTGCAAACTGTAATTGCTCTCAGCCTGGCCATCAATTCTATGGGGGATGGTCTTGCTGTTGAGGTCATTTCTATTTTACCTCAAGTTGATATTCAACGCTTAATTGATGCAGAATTTTATGAGCGCAGCTTTCAGGGAAAGTGTTCCATTACCACTTACATAAAATTGTAATGAAATGCTACTTCAAACCGGGATTGAAAAAAGCCCAGCATTTGATTAGAAAGCACTGCAGGCTCGAAACCTTGACTGGAGGCACACAGCACATCTATCCGATAATGGCAAAACCGCAGAATTCTAATTATATCACATAGAGACATGCAAATGGAAGCAAAACAGTGAGGAGAGCCAAGAGACAATTGCAGCTGTTTGCAAAAACAAAGCCAGAGACTCCAGCATGACTGTCTTTATTTCTTAGACATCAAAGGAAAAGAAACTTCCTGTATTGTTCGACTGCTGTGTGCTGCTATAGATACCTCAGGGCGTCCCGTGTTCCATGCTCAGTAAACTTGAGGCCATCCATAACTCTGCTACTCAGGTCTTTATTCATACCAAGTCCAGTTCACTCATCACCCTGCTGTTCTTGCTGACCAGTACTGGCTCACGGTTAAACAATACCTCCGTTGGAAAATTCTCACCCTTGCTTTCAAATGGCTCTTGACCCCTCCCTCTTTCTGTAACCTCCCTTACCCTCACAACTATCTGAGATACCTCTGCTCTTCTATTTATAGCCTCTGGAGCATCGCCAATTTTAATTGTTGCACAGTGAGCGGTTGTGTCTGGGCTCTAAAGTGCTGGAATTACCTCCTTGATAGTACCTGTTTCCCTTTGCCCCTTTCATCTGACCTGATATGAACCTATGTGGCTCAATGCCATATGTTGCTTCACAAGAAGGTGCTATGCAAGTAGAAGTTGCTGTTGCTGTGGTGTTTGTTTCCAGAAGTTTGTCTATTAAATGTAGAACTTCAAAAGTCACATCCATTTGCTTATTTGTTGATTCAAGTAGCACATTGATAAAATATTCTATACACACCACATTGATAAATAATTGCATACAATCAAGCAAACAACAGTACATACACGATATCTTTCCTTTTAGAAGACATGTTGTTCCAGGATTCTCTAGAGCTTTTGTAGCTTTTCACTCCTGAACTTTACTGATCAGAATGAAACCGGTTTCAAGCCATTTTTTTTTTTCATTCATTCACGGGATGAGGGCATTGCTGGTTGGGCCAGCATTTATTGCCCATCCCAGAGGCAGCTAAGAGTCAACCATAGATAACACAGTGTGGAGCTGGAGGAGCACAACAGGCCCGGCAGCATCAGAAAGGTTGACGTTTCGGGTCGGCACTTATCTTCAGAATAAGAGTCCCAACCCAAGATGGCAACCTTCCTGCTCGTCTGATGCTGCCTGGCCTGCTGTGTTCCTCCAGCTCCACACTGTTATCTCTGACTCCAGCGTCGGCAGTTCTTACTAACTCTAAGAGTCAATCACATTTGCTGTGGGTCTGGAGTCATATGGTCAGGACGGCAGATATCCTTCCCTAAAGGACATCAGTGAACTAGGTGGGTTTTTGCGACAACTGACAATGGATTCATGATCATCAATAGATTTCTAATTCATTATTATTGAATTCAAATTCCACCATTTGCCATGGTGGGATTTGAACCCAGGTCCCCAGAACATTACCTAGGTCTCTAGATTAACAGTTCTGCGATAATACCACTAGGCCATTGCCTCCTCCCCAGTTTGTTGATGTCAACAAAGATAACTGAATATTCCTGTACTAGTAGATGAACAAGATGACATTAAGATTACTGTTGCCCCTCCTGGCGACTGTATGTCACTACAATAGCATCCTTCCTGCGATAACTGGTGATGTGCAGATTTTGGGGAATTACGCAAACCGTGTATTGACACATTAGTGTCGCTCTCAGGTGTACACAGATGCTGCACTTCCAACCCATGATTTACAAGTTCTTTCATTATCCTGTCCATGCCTGAGTAGATGATAGATCTACCCTTGGAAGCTGCCCTCTTTAACTTCATCGTAGGAGTAATTATTAAACGAGAATATCCAATTAATATCCTCAGCCAACATTGATGGGTGCATGCTTTGTGGTATGGGTTAATGTGCACTGAAAAACAGCAGAAAAAAATGATCTCTTTCACCTTCCTAAACCAGGGGCGTGGAGACCCAATGCATTATGCCTGGAGAAGAATCATATCGGACTCAAGACATTAACTCTGTTCTTCTCTCAACAGATGCTGCCAGACCGGCTGAGTTTCTCCAGCACTTTCTGGAGATCAGACAGAAGACCAGTAATCAGAGCAAAGACCTTCCTACTCTGTCCAATTGACTCAACGAGTATCTTTACCACTTCGCTTGTACGTTGGTTCTAATACTTTCTATATATAAAAAAACTCTACACCCTGGAGAAGTTTTCAGAAATAAGGGA